GGGAGCTGTATAGAGGATATAGGAGAGTTGTATAGGAAGTGTAGGACGGTGTGTAGAGGATATAGGAGAGTTGTATAGGAAGTGTAGGGAGCTGTATAGAGGATATAGGAGAGTTGTATAGGAAGTGTAGGGACACTGTGTAGAGGNAGGATATAGGAGAGTTGTATAGGAAGTGTAGGGACGCTGTGTAGAGGGTATAGGAGAGTTGTATAGGAAGTGTTGGGACGCTGTGTAGAGGGTATAGGAGAGTTGTGCCTAAACTCTTGAAAATATCATCCCTTCTTTCCTATCTGCACTGGTTACATGTCTCAGTTGATTCAGTGTTCAGGAGCTTACACCGTTATCATAATTTCCGTAATAGATGTCGACCGCTGACGGACAGACTTATAACACAGCGTTTCTAGAGTTGTGAGTAGATGAAGGATATGGACAAGTGTTGTAGTCGCCATAATGATCTCATTGGAAAAGTCTTTGTGTGATTTTAATATCAATGTTTTTAATATGCTTATAAGTGTGCTTTCTTTTTCGCTGTAAATATTTCGGACCTCACTATGATGACGGGACATTATTTGTATTTGACCTCAACTTACATGGCTGATTTCGCTGATTGAAAAGAAGACGCTTACTCTCGTTTTCATCTTTTGTTTTCTAAAATAAATCGATCCCTTGTTCATATGTGATGGTTGTGTTGAAACTAGTATTCTTCATTATATAAAATAACAGACTACATCGAAAACAAAACATGTTCCAAAAAAGTGATGATTTTTTTTTTTAACAAATAAAATCTAAGGCAAAGCATTACTAATGAATTTATTAGTCATTTAGAATGATCCGTTGGGGGTTTCCATATCTGAAGAAGCAAATACGGGCGTGCCCACACAAACCATGTTAACAGTACAGTCCGGATTTTGTGTCTCCGTACAGGTCACGTCGGGAGAGTCCATTAGTGGTAGGCGTGGGTAATTGTCATCGTTATACCCTATTCTGTAACAGATTGATATCTTTTATATTACACGTTGTCACCATACAAAACAGTATAATATTTATCATAACTGACCAATAACCACATAACACTGTATGTTTATCTTACCTAATAGGTGACTACACAAAACACTGTATCTGTTATACTATAGGATATCACCATAAAAAACAGTATATTTATTATAACTGACCGATAACCTCATAACACAGTATGTTTATCTTACCTAATAGGTAACTACACAAAACACTATATCTGTTATATACTATATGATGTCACCATACAAAACAGTATAATATTGATTATAACTGACCAATAACCACATAACACATGACATATACAAATGTAATAGGTAACTACATAAAACATTATATCTGTTACAGGTTTATTACATTAACTAGGATGTAGGGTTTCGATACTAGTGCTTTAACTCATGCATTAATCATATAATCACTTCAAGGTAATTGAGAGACTCCTTTCCGAGACATGAAACAATTTGTATGTAGTGAGGATTGTATAGGTTATAACAGCAGGAGAAAAGCCAGATCTAGAGAGACGGATCTCAGAGGTGTTGTGCCGTCCAATGCAGTCCTCCCTATTCCATCATTATAAATCTATAAATTATTGATAAGTGTTTATTGGCTTGACAAAATCCACGTGACATGTTCCTAGACAGTTCGTACAACTGCTCTTTCTGGTGACTACAGTTTTCTACATACATGTATACCTTCGGGAATCACAATTATTTTGATAAACTCATAACTTTTGTTGGAATTTAAGGTCATTGGAGTGTATTGATAAACGGAAACAGGAAGTACATCCCTAGTTGAAAATCCAATGTAGGGAGACAGTATCACAATTTCCGCAAATTCTAATGTTTAATATTAAACTGATGAATATTGTATGTTTATTATTGACAGAACAGTGTGTTCTCTCAATATTAAAGTATTTCAAAGCAATCAAGGTATTGATTCAGGTTTTTACTATGTGTATATGGTTTTATTATAAAATGTCAATTTTATATCGTGTATAGAGATTTAATTTAACACAATTTCAGCATTTATTAAATTGATATACATTAATGCAATACTAATATATGTCAGTATCATTTTTATTGACATTATTTTGTAAATATATTGTGTATTTCATTTTCTTTTCAAAATTCACTACTTTTTACATAAATTTTCATTTAAAATCCTTAAAATTCTGACAACCTATATTTTTTTTGTGGCAGAAAATTTTCTTTACTTTAAAGCAATATAACTACAAAATTTGAAGAAATTCTACTGAGAAATGGGGACACAATCCTATTACCTTAAGATGTGTACCACAGATCAATAAACAAATCTTACCCGCACTTCCGGATCACATTGGTCCTAACGCACGTGTACGACATACACTCTGGGTGTAGGCTCGTGACCACTTGTCCTACTTGAAGTGTCGTATCATTGAATGCGCATCCTGCATCGGTGGTGCCTGTTATATTATATAGTTAAATCACATTGCAATATAAACACATGATTTATTATATTTTATAAGGTGTCTGAAGTAAAATAATAATTTAGTAGTCATAAACGAATTCCTACCAAGTCCTATTGTAATACTAGTAGTATTTCTGTGTGAGGTTGATCACCTTTCATTATATAAACTTAAGAGTTATCTATCATTCATTTAACTAAGAATGGATAAACTCTATTCACAAAATGCCGCCTTATCTCAAAGATTACCCATGAAACCATGGACTTCCGGTTTGAAAGCGTTTAATCAGAATGAGGATGAAATATAAAAGGCGTCGACAAAAATATATGCAAGCGACAGCAAGGATAAAAACCAAGATAATACTGAAGTTTTGAAACATAATTCGATTAAATTCAATTCCAAATCGATAAACTAGGGCCACATAAGAACAAAGGATAGATCTATTTGAGAAAGTAAAAGGAGACGACGAGTCGTTCATGACGGGTAAGTGTCTTCTGTTTCATCGTCGACATCAGCCATGTAAATTTAGGTCAAATACAAATGATGTCCCTTCATCACAGAGAGATCTGGGGTAGTGACATCGAAAACCAAGACATTCAAAGCATAAAAAACATCGCACTTAATGTCACAAAAAGAATAAGCACATATTCAAATCAGTTCGTGATGGCGACCCAAATTAACATTTAGAGTCCATCACTATGCATTGGTGGAAACCCTGAGTTGGTAGCTTGTCTGTCAGCATACGATATATATTAAGACAATCATAATATTGAGAGGAAGCCCTTGAATGCCGAATCAACTGCAACATGTAAACACTGTAGGTTGGGGATGCAGGGATGTTGCTACCAAGAAAGTGAAAGTTCACGATAGGAAAATAAAATATCGTGCCGTTTATGTTGCAGCTTAGCAGAACACCGTATCTGTATATCCTATTGTAACGAAGCGACTTATATCGCCGTTTGCATTTCGCAGAAAAAACCCCGCTGATAATGAAAAAACCCGATTGGGTCCCTTCAGTTTAGTATGAGGTATAACAGTGTTGAGGGCAGAAAAGATTTATAAACATCAGATAAAAGAACCGTTTTGGTGGACAGGATATTCCAGATTAATCGAAATATCATCGGAGTTCTACATAAACCACATTCTATCACAATTATTCCTCTTCTGGAATATACAGTGTCACAAAACGATTGTAACCACATACAACACAGTTAACATACAATCACGAAAAAAGGGGGATACAAAGTGTTAGCAAAAACCAGGGCAAAATAGGAACAAAGGAAAGATGTTTTCATGGCGACCCTGATACACTCACAACCATGAAATAGTCCATAGCGGCAACAAACACCCACAAAATATACCGAGGCATCAACACACAACCACGAAATAGTTCATAGCGGCAACAAACACCCACAAAATATAACGAGGTGTCAACACTTAATCACGAATTAGTTCATAGCGGCAACAAACACCCACAAACTATACCGAGGCGTCAACACACAACCACGAAATAGTTCATACCGGCAACAATCCCTCACAAAATTTACCGAGGTGTCAAAACACAACCATGAAATAGTCCATAGCGGCAACAAACACCCACAAAATATACCATAGATTCAACCCACGAAGACAAATTGTATATCAAAGAATTAAAAAAACAACACATAATGTACAGCAAAACGTAAGCATACATTTTTTTACTATTGAAAACGTATTATACCATATAGGTTTACACTTGAGGACAACAATAATACCATAGGATCTCCTAGGAAAAACGTAAAGATAGCATGACGTCAACACGCCACAGCGTTACGTACAAACATTAAATATACTAAAGCGTCAACATCACAAAACAAAAGATATAATTGTGTCGTGCCTATAATTAATCACAATATCAACACTCGACGGCAAGATGCCAATAACATCAACAGGAGAGTTCAACATTAATTCAAAGTCGCAGAAGACTTACTGAGACAGAGATCATAAATCCCAACAAAAAGCCGGATACGTATCAAGATGTTTCGCGAAAGAAATCGATTCCTGCACCACATGTTTGTCAATATGCAAATGTAAGCTTTATCTTGCAAGAATTATGGAACATGTTTATCAGCTAATATTTCAATTCCTACTCAAATTTGACTCAGTGCAACTACCAAATGTAACCTGTTTCATTTGCCGATGAATTTGACCAGATTAACATTGCCTGTGCGTATGATTTTGCGAAAGGAGATAACTATATAACTATTGACATGTTAAACCAGGAAGATACCACTTGATGCGATTTTACATTTTTATTGAAGCTACACAAGAACTTATTCAAACAATCAGCAAAATAGTATCAGCTCACGGTTGCTAGCTGTAGTGACAAGACATGTAGTGCCCTGGAAATTCTCCCTCCAGCTACGCATTCTGTCTCTCGTGTCAGTGTCAACCCTCGGTACAAATCGAAAACAATGTGGTTCAAACATGCATGTGGTCCCGTCATATATGAAATGCAGTCGGACAGCAAACTACCATATCAAATTCGTCCCTTTAAGCCACGTCCGGTTTTCTGTCTAATTCGACATTCAATTACTGCAACTTCACAATCCAGAAGATATAGAACCTTGAAATTAAGCGGCTCTCCACTTCGAGCTAGTAAAAAGATGGCTGTCGTAGACTCGCAGCTGAGACTGCGCATCGCGTCTAGACATTATTCTTCCGCGATGACGCGTCAGACAATTTGATATCTTATGAATTCATCAACAAAATTAATGTGACATTAAAAATAAGGTCTTGTGTTTTGTTTCTACATAATTTGGCTGAATTGAACTATCAGCGTACTCCATTATGTTGTATGATGGTCCTTCAATGACGGACTATATTTTTTTTACATTACGTTAATACGTAGAAAAACGATCAAAATGGACTTTCACAAGTTCCAATTATTGAAAGAAAAAAAACCGTTGGTTGAAATATAAGGTTTGAGTCTTGCTTTGGTCGATTTTATGGGGTGATGAATTGAGTTTGTCTTGAAATAAATTCAGGATGAACTGCTTCGCAGTTAATTATATTTGTTTCAAGACCAACTCAATTCATCACCCCATGAAATCGACCAAAGCAAGATTCCATCCTTAGATAAAAACCATGCTTACATTCACACGCTAATGCTTTGTTATCGTATCCATTCATTTACACGACTTAATAGTAATAACAAACTGATTCATCATAAGTATAAAAAGCAAGAGGACGAAGGGGAAATAACTCAGTACGAACAGTGTAAGTTTTGTATGACTTCGAAAAGAAGATGTGAGGTTTGTGTACCACATCGTCAATATACAAATCTGGATAATCAATACCACAACATTTCAACACAACGACAGGATCCGACCTTAACGTCCATACAAAGAGTGCCATGTCAACACACAAGATCAAATCAATCCTGGAATTCCATACAAAGTATACAACGTTGTCATTATATTAAGACCAGATCCAAACTCAAATTACATACGCAATACTACCACATTGTTAATACATCTGACTTAAAATAGAACGGTACAAGAGGATCTAAGGAGAAAACAAATCAACAAAAAAAGACCACTTTGAAAACGCACATAATCATCACAACGACACAGTATAGCGCTTTATAAAACAGAAATGACACTAACCATCTGACGATATTTCAAGACAGGAGCACTCGACTCTGCTAGCTGCGGTGATGACGACGAGGAGGGCCAGGAATGATAGCATGGCGCTGTCGTTACTTGTTAAGGAATATCGCGTCGTGTCCTTTTTTCGTGTTTCCGAAGCTGATTCGTGTGACTTGTATACTGTCGCGGTGTTTCAGAGAAATAGCAGACAGGCTCGCGATCCCAGGTTAAAAGCGTCAAGAATTACTCATGTCGTACCATATGTTGCTAAAGCTATCGGTCTTCTTTCTACTTTGTATTCAAGCATCAGTTAATGTAATTTTTTCCAATCGATTATGGTGACAAAGAGTAAAATATCTTTCCCTAAAGCGGTTCATTTGTATTTAACATAATCATGCAGTAATGTTACATTTACATTAGTCAGGAGAGACGATACCCTTCAATACAAAATGCACTTCAGACAGAATGAATAACGGAAGACGGTTAAATTAATATTTAAAAAATACATATACCAAACATTTAAAAGTATCAAATTGACGCTTTGTATGAAATGAACGCTATTGATAGCATTGACAGTATTTTAAAATTATTGTAGCAATGCCCTTCTGGAAGCTTTCTGTAACGAATGTCTTGAAACAAAAACACTGGGACTATTTGCAAAATGTAAACACCTACTGCTGTCATAAGTTGTCAAGGTACATTGATGTGAGATTTTAACAAATATTCTTCTGTCCATTTTTTTAATGATTTGAAAAATAATGATTTTTGGTAAGATAGCAAGCGCTTTCAAAAAATATGTAAAATAAAAAGATAAGTAAATGATATGATATAATATAAAATAGTATAGACGAATAAAAGGGATATCAATTAATCCAATATTCTTATTTCCGTCTGACGGTGAGAGAGAATGGTTTATGATTAACGTTTACACGTCGAGTTGTAATTGCCAGATTTATTTACCTAAGATGACTAATGTCGTCTACTAGTGAAGAGGATAAACTATTTGCCACCGTCAGCTTTTGATTCCATCGAATACAAACAGGCGATGACTTATATATATATAATCCATTAAGGCTTAGTCTCAGAATGACAGCATTCCATATGTTATTTGTTGGAATTTGGTGAAAGAATAATGCCCTTTTTTGGTCCTAATGTTTTAGAAAACCTAAGTGATTTCGTTTTACTTTGTTCCTTTTTTCAGTAATAAAACAATTACTGTACACGGTAACTGTTTCCACATGAAGCGTCGTCAGCCAACCTGATAAATATGCCTTTCACACCATCAATATCAGCTCGTATTGTAATATTATTTCTATTTCTTAAAAAGATTAGAATGTAGATATATCTAAAGTCAAAAGGTTATACATGTTTATAACATAACTGACCCATTTCACTATGTCGTACGGCCATGTCATAAATATGGTATTACACACGTTTATCAAAACCTAAAGGCGCTGTGATTGGTCAAATCTGTGGGAACATATCCCTGCGCCACTTCAAGCACTACTTTTATTTACTACACCGTAGTAAAAAATGGCTGACCAGATAAACATTGGCGACACAGTTTCAATTAACAACAAAGGAGCAGGTATTGTAAAGGATATTGTTCCAAAAGGTTTTGCAACATTTTATAGTGTAGAAGTTTCTGGAATTGATTTTAAAGTTAAACTTGAACGAGATCGTATTGAGGAGGTCACTGTTACACAGGCCCGGTCAGAACAGCAACCGGAGCAGACGAAAAACTTGTATGCTGGGCATAGGGCTGACAAACCCAAAACAAACAGATTTGTTACCGTAAAAGAAGATGAAGTGGGGAATTTTATCCTCTACCAATCTAACAAAAACACTATGAGAAAAACATTCTATGATCTGAAACTTTTGTATCAATTTTTCAAGTTGCCTGAAAGACAAATCCACGGCATCCCAGTAATTGAACTGTGTCCTTTACTGTGTAGATTTTTTATTTGTATCAGGAAAACGAATGGTTCAAAATATGAACCAACCAGTTGACGGGGGATGATGTCAAGTTTTGATCGGCAATTACTGCTAGCAGCCCTATGTTTGCCCAAGTGCGCGAGGTTATGACAAGTAAACAGCGTCAGTTGAAACGCGACGGAAAAGGCAAATTAGCACACAGAAGTGATCCAATAAATGACACTGAAATCGACATGCTGTTGAGTTCTGGCCAACTAGGTTCGAACACACCTGACAGCTTACTACAAACTTTGTGGTTTTGTAATATTGTTCATTTTGGTCTCCGGGGCTCGGCCGAACATAGGGAAACAAAAACAAAAAACGGGAGAAAATCCCCGTGATATTAGAGCTGTTAAACCGAAACTTTGGGCAAATCTGTGACAATTTATTTTTTTTACCGTGAAAAATGCCTGACTGGCTACGGTGCCCCATCTGATCCTTTTTACGCAGCAACCAAATAAATAACATCGCCTAATATTCCAATTTGGTTCAAGAAACAGCCAATAGGAGTCAATAAATTGTTTACCATGATGCAAAGAGTGATCAAGTTGTCGGGAATCGAAACTGAAAAACATCTGTCAAATCACAGCGCTAGGAAATATCTTGTTCAAAAACTCAGTGACAGTAATGCCCACCCCCCCCCCCCCCCCCCACACACACACAAATTATGCAAATTTCAGGACACAAGAACATTTTATCAATAAACAATTATAGCCATATCAACACAGACCAACACAAGCACATTTTACGAATCCTGAGCTCCGGAAAAGTCGTTCTCTCACCTGCCAACATGTCAACGCCAGAAGGCCTATTTCCAAGTGTTTCACAAAATCGTCAAGTTCTTCATTGTCGATGTCAGAGATAAGTGGCGGTTTTGAGAATCAATTTTCAGTGGTCCGATAAGTGGAGAGAACATTAATATTAATATTTACCAAGATGTCATTATTATTTTCATTGCATTTAAAACTGTCCATAATTTAAATAAACAAATCTGGAACTACTTTTCATTCCACGGAACGACAATACTATGATCGGAGTACTTTGGTTTTGACCTATATAGAGCCAGCTGATAACAAATAGTTGTGTTTGAATTTGTTTCAAATTATGATTGTTATGGGATAAATAGAATCTTACACTCGTGTCCATGTCATATTGAATTTATTAAACTCGTTCAATAAATCGATATGACACGAGCCTTTATTAAGTTATTGAATGAGTTTGATAAATTCAAAATGACATGAACACGAGTGTAATATCCTCTATATATGACCAAATGATACTTCTTGAAACAAAGAATCCAACTTAGACTTCGAAATCACATAGGCAGAGGAAATCTCCATATTTTTTTAATGATGAATCAAATTTAAATTACATTCAGATTTATGCCCACAGTTGAAGCAGAATTCCTTCATTTCCAATAACGACGTATCGGATGAATACGCGAGACTGTCCCCTGAAAAGCAACAAGTAAAAGTATATATGATGGCTATCGCGCACCTGTTCTGCTGTGACACATATGGTTATTATGAAAGTAAGTCAGCTTCATCTAGGAAGTTTATTGTTTAAATTTATACATTTACTCTAAAGACACGTAGTATGCCATGTACATCATTGACGCCGTGTATGACATGTACAATATTGAAACTATCATGACATGTACATCATTGACGCCGTTCATGACATGTACAATATTGAAACTATCATGACATGTACATCATTGACGCCGTTCATGACATGTACAATATTGAAACTATCATGACATGTACATCATTGACGCCGTGTATGACATGTACAATATTGAAACTATCATGACATGTACATCACTGACGCTTTTATGACTTTTGATGTATTGACGCTTTGCATGACATGTATATAATTGATGCATTGTATGATATGAATAATAGTGATGCTATCATGACATGTACATCATGACATGTACAGTATTGATGTTATCATGAGCTGTACATTATTGATGTTATCATGCCATGTAAAGTATTGATGTTATCATGAGCTGTACATTATTGATGTTATCATGACATGTACAGTATTGATGTTATCATGACATGTACAGTATTGATGTTATCATGACATGTACCGTATTTATGTTATCATGACATGTACAGTATTTATGTTATCATGACATATACAATATTGATGTTATCATGCCTTGTACATAATTGATGCTATAATGACATGTACATTATTAATGTTATCATGACATGTACAGTATTTATGTTATCATGACATGTACATTATTGATGTTATCATGACTTGTACATTATTGATGTTATCATGACATGTACAGTATTTATGTTATCATGACATGTACATTATTGATGTTATCATGACATGTACATTATTGATGTTATCATGACATGTACATTATTGATGTTATCATGACATGTACATTATTGATGTTATCATGACATGTACATTATTGATGTTATCATGACATGTACATTATTGATGTTATCATGACATGTACATTATTGATGTTATCATGACATGTACATTATTGATGTTATCATGACATGTACATTATTGATGTTATCATGACATGTACATTATTGATGTTATCATGACATGTACATTATTGATGTTATCATGACATGTACATTATTGATGTTATCATGACATGTACATTATTGATGTTATCATGACATGTACATTATTGATGTTATCATGACATGTACATTATTGATGTTATCATGACATGTACATTATTGATGTTATCATGACATGTACATTATTGATGTTATCATGACATGTACATTATTGATGTTATCATGACATGTACATTATTGATGTTATCATGACATGTACATTATTGATGTTATCATGACATGTACATTATTGATGTTATCATGACATGTACATTATTGATGTTATCATGACATGTACATTATTGATGTTATCATGACATGTACATTATTGATGTTATCATGACATGTACATTATTGATGTTATCATGACATGTACATTATTGATGTTATCATGACATGTACATTATTGATGTTATCATGACATGTACATTATTGATGTTATCATGACATGTACATTATTGATGTTATCATGACATGTACATTATTGATGTTATCATGACATGTACATTATTGATGTTATCATGACATGTACATTATTGATGTTATCATGACATGTACATTATTGATGTTATCATGACATGTACATTATTGATGTTATCATGACATGTACATTATTGATGTTATCATGACATGTACATTATTGATGTTATCATGACATGTACATTATTGATGTTATCATGACATGTACATTATTGATGTTATCATGACATGTACATTATTGATGTTATCATGACATGTACATTATTGATGTTATCATGACATGTACATTATTGATGTTATCATGACATGTACATTATTGATGTTATCATGACATGTACATTATTGATGTTATCATGACATGTACATTATTGATGTTATCATGACATGTACATTATTGATGTTATCATGACATGTACATTATTGATGTTATCATGACATGTACATTATTGATGTTATCATGACATGTACATTATTGATGTTATCATGACATGTACATTATTGATGTTATCATGACATGTACATTATTGATGTTATCATGACATGTACATTATTGATGTTATCATGACATGTACATTATTGATGTTATCATGACATGTACATTATTGATGTTATCATGACATGTACATTATTGATGTTATCATGACATGTACATTATTGATGTTATCATGACATGTACATTATTGATGTTATCATGACATGTACATTATTGATGTTATCATGACATGTACATTATTGATGTTATCATGACATGTACATTATTGATGTTATCATGACATGTACATTATTGATGTTATCATGACATGTACATTATTGATGTTATCATGACATGTACATTATTGATGTTATCATGACATGTACATTATTGATGTTATCATGACATGTACATTATTGATGTTATCATGACATGTACATTATTGATGTTATCATGACATGTACATTATTGATGTTATCATGACATGTACATTATTGATGTTATCATGACATGTACATTATTGATGTTATCATGACATGTACATTATTGATGTTATCATGACATGTACATTATTGATGTTATCATGACATGTACATTATTGATGTTATCATGACATGTACATTATTGATGTTATCATGACATGTACATTATTGATGTTATCATGACATGTACATTATTGATGTTATCATGACATGTACATTATTGATGTTATCATGACATGTACATTATTGATGTTATCACGACATGTACATTATTGATGTTATCATGACATGTACATTATTGATGTTATCATGACATGTACATTATTGATGTTATCATGACTTGTGCATAATTGATGCTATCATGACATGTACATTATTGATGTTATCATGCCTTGTACAGTATTGATGTTATCATGACACGTAAATTATTGATGTTATCATGACATGTACATAATTGATGTTATCATGACAATTACATATTTGATGTTATCATGACAATTACATATTTGATGTTACCACGACATGTACATTATTGATGTTATCAAGACATGTACATTATTGATGTTATCATGACATGTACATTATTGATGTTATCATGACCTGTACATTATTGATGTTATCATCACATGTACATAATCGATGTTATCATGCCTTGTACATTATTGATGTTATCATAACATGTACATTATTGATGTTATCATGCCTTGTAAATTATTGATGTTATTATGACATGTACATTATTGATGTTATTATGACATGTACATTATTGATGTTATCATGCCTTGTACAGTATTGATGTTATCATGACATGTGCAGTATTGATGTTATTATGACATGTACATTCTTTATTCGTTATTAATGTTACAAATAGTTTGTAACGTGTATCGTGAAACACGTGATAAAGTACACTGAAAGAAATTATGATTAATCAACAGACTTCGTTATTACCTGTTTTCTATACTGTCTTGAAACGATTTATTGACTCCCTGTACGGATACCATATGTCGCTCGGAATCTTTTCTCGCATAATTTTAAAAACCGTTGTTAATCATACAATGTAGTCGTTTGTTATTGTGATCACGCAATATGCAAAACATTCAAACAGCTGTTACCTCGTCCGGGAATTTTTTTAAACTGTTTCCTACTGCGGGGAAATAAATAGCAGCTATTACCTAGTGCGCGAAATAAATTGTAAACGTTATTAGTGCCTTGAAATATATTCTAAACGTTATTAGTGCCGTGAAATATATTGTAAACGTCACTTTGACGGTCTTTGCTCATGATACATGTATAACCAACAGAGACGGCTTACTGTACTTACATGATGTACCTACAAAATAAGCTGGACGATTGATATATTTCAATAGTCAATTTTCACTTTCTTGATAGTTCCATACCTGTTTCCCAAAACTGCAGTCATTGCGAGTCGTAGTTGAGTCGATATTCAAGAGCTTAGTCCGTATATCATGACGTCCGTGATAAATGTCGACTACTGACGGACAAACGTGCAACATTAACTTTCCAAGGATGAAAGTTGAATGATGACTATGGACAAGTTGTATTGGATCCATCCGGATCTCGGTAGGAAGTATGCTATTTAGTAACGTGATAAAAAGGTCGATGTCTCTGCGTTTTGTTGAAACTGCTCAAGTTATCAATGTGAGGAAGTGACTTTACTTGGATTTGATCTAGATTTACATGGCGGGGGTTGCCGATGAATCAGAAGACGCTTAACCTTCCAGAATGCCTGGTCTTATTCTCCTGAAGCTTTCTAAGTATCTCCATCAGTCTTTAATTTCCTTATATGTTGTCATAGTTTTATCGAATCTGAGTTTGAATACGATTTTGTTAAAACTTCGGTATTTTCTTGTTTTTCCTTCAGCATTACACCTTTCTCCCAGCCATTATACCCTTCAAAGCTATAAAGTATCTAGTTTAAACAATATCATTTATGAAGTTAGGCAACAATTTATTATCTGATAGTGTTCTATCTGGTATATTCATTAACCTAGGTATAGTCGTTTGATTCACAATATTATTTTGTACATTAATTATCTCGAGGACTCGACATAACGTCTCGAGCGCTCGACATATCATCTCGATCGCTAATTTATGTTCTGCCTATGCTGTTTTGTTGACTTTTCTCTCCCATGCTTGGCAATTGATAAACTTCTACATATCACCTGTTCCTATGCACGATATGTATATGTCATTTACTTACCGCGAGGCGGTGTCAATCAATTAAGAGCATGCCACCTTTGGTTTTCGTATCAATTTATTAAATATTTATAACGTGTATGTGTAACGATTGATCTGTGTCCCCGTATTGTGCCTACTTCGTGTCTGTTTCGTATAGCACGCCCTCTTAAATATAAGACATATGATACCTAGCATATGTTATATTATTATTAAAAATAATATAATTAGTGCATTATGTTACTATAGATTACGTCTTTAAGATTATAGAGAAACATCTCAAATTACAACACCTGTTTCCAGAAATACAATGTTTCTTAGAAATGAAACTTGTAACTATTGTAATAAATTGTATGAAATGAAAAAATAAAACATCGAAGCTACTAGCCAGTATCTGGAATCAGTCCTATATAACTCTGAACACCACGCCAATTTACAGGAAACTCTGGAAACCATAAGATATATTTTGGAATCAACACAGTAAACAATACCTCCCGGTAAACTTCGGAACCACGAACAGGAGAAACCCCACGGCAAACAAGTCATGTTATCTTCCCTAGCCTTCATCGTCATCATCGCCACAGCCGGCAGAGTCGAGTGCTCCTGTCGTGAAATATCTACAGACGGTTCGTTTTATTTTTGTTCTAGAAAATGCAACTCATTTTGACTTTCAAATACGTGTTTATATTGGATAGCATACTGCTTCCTAATCCTTTGACTTTTCATTCACTTGTATTGAATTATGAAGGCTTTCTATAAACCCTTGATAATTTGTCTCCATGATCGTCCAGTTCCGATCTTCATGGCTTGTTTCATGAGCTCCATCTTAATTTCCATTGTTTGTTGACGTTTTCTTGATTTTTTTTTTCGTAGTCTTGACGCTATCGTATGTGACTTATATGTGGATGATTTGGTATATTTTGTCTTTGTTTGAAGACGTTATGGAACCGTTGTTTATTGGCGCTGTGATATATTTTGTCTTTGTTTGAAGACGTTGTGGAACCGTTGTTTATTGGAGCTGTGATATGTTTTGTCTGTATTTTAACGCAATGATATATTTTGTCTGTGTTTTGCTTATCTGTATTTTTAAGCTATGATATATTTTGTCTTTGTTTGAGGACGTTATGGAACCGTTGTTTATTGGCGCTGTGATATGTTTTGTCTGTATTTTAACGCAATGATATATTTTGTCTGTGTTTTGATGTTACGAGATATATTGTCTGTGTTTTGACGCTATGACATATTTTGTCTGTGTTTTGCTTATCTGTATTTTTAAGCTATGATATATTTTGTCTGTGTTTTGACGCTACGATATATTTTGTTTGTGGTTTTACGTTATAATATATTTTGTCTGTGTTTTTAAGCTACGATATATTTTGTCTGCGTTTTTACGCTGTGATATATTGTGTCTCTATTTAGACGCTATGATACATTTTGTCTGTATTTTTACGCTATGATATATTTTGTCGTTGTTTGTTGACGCTATGATATATTTTGTCTGTGTTTTAACGCTATGATATATTTTGTCTGTGGTTGACGCTGTGATATATTTTGTCTTTGTAAGTTGACGCCGCGATGTATATAATCCTTCTATGTTGACGCCAATGTATATTTTGTCGCTATGCGTTGAAGGTGTTGTATATATTGTGGTTATGTTTTGACGCTGTGATATATTTTGTCGTTGTGTTATGACGCTTTGGTATACTTTGTTTTGTGTGACGTCATTAAGCAAATTACACGGGAGTGACAAACCAACAAACCGTACTGATCTGGTCAAAAGAAGAATAGACTTTTCCATTTAGAAGAATTCCGAACAGCCCTTGAAAACTTTCCAATACCAAACGGTGTCGCAGAATTCCATATTTTTAAATAGTAGTGCGCTCTGGCCCCACACAAGACATACATCTCAAAATGTCCTTGAGCGGGGTCAGGACCAAAGGAAAGTAGGGCTACAGATACATATTGACAAGTTTAAAGTTGAGTTCTAGCATCCACGTTATCTTGGCATTAGACAATATTGACAATAAGACTTGAAAGTGCACCTGGGCTGGAAGAAATCGTGCACTTATTGTGTTTCGAAATTTAGCCGATTGACCTCTGTCTAAAACATGTCCCGCAGGAGAGGGATATGAATTCCACAAAGGATGAGTGTCTATTATATGGGACTCTGTTCCGTTTACTTTAAAATATGTTTATTCAGCAATGAACATGATCTGAAAAGACACACAAAGTAGCGGTAAATTGCACAATAATAATTAGCATGAATCACGTATAGAAACTGATTCCAGTCTTGTCCCATTTAAGAGGGTGAGGACCAACTTGCTTTTGGATGCGTACATCTCCAACTGCAAGAGGTAAGAGACGTTTGGTGTGTTTAGACCAACGTTCACTTTCTCGCATGTGACGGTTCCGTAACGCCTCCTCGCGAGCTGTTAAAGTCTCCAGTCAAGTGTTGTGTGGAATGTACCGACCGGGTGGTATAGGAATAAAGTCTCGTATAGGACGACCAAACGAGATAGTTTTGTGTCTCTGTCAGGTGTGTTATGATACTGGAGAATAGCGCGTTGTAATGCATCGGTGTTTAAGTCGCCAATAGGACTGGTGTTGCCAGTGATCAGACGCTTCACCGTTTTGACTCCCACTTCAGCACGGCAGTTACTATGGGGGAAAGCTACAGATGACAGTCTATGGTGAACACCCCAGTTCCTGAGAAATCGACGTGTGGTCCACCATCTGATGCTAGTTCATCAGGAATACCAAAAGTAACAAATGTCCTTCGGAGAGAGTCTATTAAACCATAGGAACCATCAGAGGCTTTCTCCACTACCGGCCAGTTGGAATAACGATCAACTACCACTAGGTAATTACAGCCCATGCAGTGAAAGAAATATGCACACACGCATTGGAATGGATAGTCAGGAGTAATCAAAGGTGTCAGTGGTGCACTCGGGTTAGATGGATCAATACGGTTGCAGTGGTTACAGGATGCACGTAGGGAGGCAATGACAGGCGTGGTACCAGGCCAGAAGATTGACGCGTCAGCTCTTGAAGTCATAGATTTCACCTCTTGATGTGCCGAATGCAGAGAGGCAAGGGCTTCTTCCCGGAGTGATGGTGGAATGATTATTTTGTCTTTATAAAGTACTACACAATCAACCGTATGAAGGTCGTTGCGGAATGGGAAATATTCTTGAAGTGGTCTAGGCAGCTCGTGACGGGTTCCCGGTATACCGGCCTCTATCAGAGCTATTAACGCCTGCATGTTGTCGTCGGTGGTAGTAGTGGTTCTAACGCGCTACCAAGTGACGGATCGTAACTTGATCGCATCTAGTGTTGAAAGGCTGATGCTACGACATGCTCCTCGACAAATGCTAGTCCTGATGAAGGCATGCGGATACCACTCATTAGACCAAAGTGGGCGATGTCGACGGCAGAAAAGGACAGTGCTGCAATGTCGTCCTCGAGCACAAGTTTCTCAGGCTCACCAATAGGATGTCGGGAGATACAAACCGCAGCACGATGTCGTGTGCCAAGCACATGAAGCATTCGAAAACGGTATCGTAGTGTTTTCTCCCTGAGTTTTCGAATTCTGTTGTTAAGAATGTTTTCCAGTGATCTATCGCCAAATAACTTCAACAATGGATTATGATCAACAGCTATGATACATTTGTCGCACCCAAGAACGAAGTGTTGAGCTTTATCAAGGGCATCTGTTACTGCCAGGGCTTCGCCCTCAACCGGTGCGTAACGTATCTCTGCCGTGTGTGTGAACCGACTACCTACGAGTGTAACTTTCCAACCATCACGGCAGCATAGCAGGTTTTCATTAGCATAAGCGCAGTGTTTCTGTAGCAACATAAATCCAATGCCAGTCTTTGAACAATCTGTCGCGAGACACGTCAATTTACTTGGGTCGAAAATCCGTACACCCTGCTCAATCTTGTTGGCAATGACAATTTTTGATTCCTCAAACAGTCGTTTGAGATCTTCAGTCCACTGAAACGGTTGATCTGGTTTGAGCAATTGACGAAAAGGAAGCATATTCTCAGTCATACTGAAGGCATATGACACCTGATTGACTAGTCCAAACCATGACCGCACGTTTGTGATGTTCCTGAGTGCCGGAAAATTCAGGATGGCGCGTAGGTATTTCTGTGAAGGCCGTACACTATCGTTGGTTATTTCAAACCCAGCGAATTCGAGTGTGTCCTCTGCGAATACAAATTTATCAGGGTTTAGCGTTATACCGTTACGGCCGCATATGTCAAGCCACTGGCCTGCCTGAAAGAAGCTTTCTTCAACAGTGTCGGACCATAATAAAACATCGTCGACACATTTGGTTTTATTGATGATGTCCGAAACAAGCTCGTCATAGCGCCTGATGTATCCGTCGCCCGATGCAACGAGCCTTGGAGTGCAGTTTTGTAACGGTACCTCCCCCAAGGAGTAATGAACGTGGTCAAGTGTCTGTCCTCTTCGCAGATGGGTACACTGTGATAAACGTTCCATACACCAAATAGTGTCTTCTTCTTTTCATGTGGAATAGACCGGGCTTGGTGGAATGGCGAAGGGGTATGATGAGTATCACGAGTGGCATGTGCATATAAGGGTTCGAAGTCAACAGTGCGCTGAGGTGTACCATTCTTTTTCGCACAAACAACCATTCTATGGCACCAGGTGACAGGCTCACCAACCGGAACAGGTTCAATAACTTCCAGTTGGCGTGTAGGACAATCGCATGCTGTGTCTTGGTGATCCGGTGAGGTGAAAGTAGCATCTACTGCTAGCTGAAGGGACTTGAGCTCCGACGGTTGGAAATAAATCGTGGATAATACTCAATGCAACGCAGGTTTCGCGACTGTGTTAAGACACACAAAGTAGTGATAAATTGCACAATAATAATTAGCATGAATTACGTATAGAAACTAATCCTCTATCTACAAGGCACTTTTATGGGTCCCGGTATATTCAGATTTTCACTTCCCTATTTTGTTCAAAGATGTCCTATTGTATGACATGCGGAAAACTAAGGTAAAACTTTGACAGAAAGTATGTTTCTGGGGGTACCAAAAGGGGTAGGGTAAATCACAAATATAGTTTGCTGTTTTCAAAATGAGCTTAAAAACCAAAATAATACCATTTCTGTTTGAAAACATGTATAAATTAGACAAGCAAATGTAACAGAATGAAAAATGACAGAAATTCAATCGTCACTTAAAGATTGTTTATATAAAACGAAGGATTAAGACAGGGGGGTTGTTTTAGGAAATTTCCAAATGAAAAGTGTTTTGATTTCTCAATAATTTCCTTCCTAATTAATATTTTGACTTGACATTTACAACTTCACTCATTTAAGTAGACTTACATAAATTGCATATTGACTACATAATTTCCTGTTGTTTTATACTGAGTTATGGCTTCTAGACACATCTCAAACTTGGCTTTTTCAAATACATATATCTCTCAATTTTAAGTGAATTAGAAGGTGCATGACACCCTTTATATGCTATAAGTATAAGATATTTATAGTTAATAATGTATATTGTATGTATCATTTAATATTTGCTCAGCACCTGTGGCTGAAGTAAGTCCCAGGTCCTGTGATGTTTTCTTAATTTGCAAAGTTAGATTACATATAAAAATGACATTTGTCACCATAATCACTGTAAAATGATTGGTTTAATATATATATGAAGTTTGATTTGCTGGTAATTGTAAGTTTCCTTGCCTCAAGGAAAGTATCTGCTTTAATCGTTAAAGTTAATCGATTTTATTGAATATCAAATGTTCTGCCTATTTCCAATGTTTATCCGCTGATTGTACATAAAAGGCATTTGGGGATAAGCATGTAACTTGGCATAGATATTATTTATATGATATATAGTTTGTGAAAGTTTCATACTTATCCCACAATGCCCTTTTATCTAAAAACACCTTTTCCTGTGATTTGGAGTACAAGGACCAAACTGCATCTCCTTGCCTAACACCAAACATTTCCTGACAATACTTGTCTATATGAATGTATGTAGATTAAACATGCTCAGTAGAGTGTCTATAGTAGTAAGAGGGGCGTTTGACATGCTACACTGACCAAAAGTCAGATAGTTTATGCTTTGAAAACGCATAGAGAGGCTAAGTTGTTCGTTCAAGTTACAAATCCTTTTGTTGATTTCATACGGTTTATTTGTTACATTAAATGCTAGCGGCTACTCGTATTATTTCTTAATTGCTTTTCTTCCCTTTTTGTTACATTACGTTAACCATGCCATCGGTTTATGTTGTCATCATTTGCTTTTTACAATCTATACATAAGATTTGTTTTGTGATTTTTCTTTATTCTTATTTTATAGAAGGGTAATTTACTCTTACAAGAAAAGAAAAATATTTGCATGTTGCTTTATATCTCTTCCCCAGATGAAATTATAAACCAGTGTGTAATAGAAAAGGTCAACGTGACTCTCAGGATAGGAGAGGTAGAAGAAAGACTTCACCCCGAGTGTAAGGCATACAAATGTGTCGAGGAGAACCTGGTCAACATGTGCGGGTAATATTATTTAATATATCCTAGGAAATCACGACTGCATCCCAGTAAAGGCTTTCATGATATGAACATGGTATAATTAAAACATTGTAAGCACTGGTTGATGTATTTTCTTTGGACAAGTCACGTGTGAAGCGTTTAGCATATAGAAATTTGTAAAAAGATAGATTGAGGAATACTAAATACAATACTGTTCGCTACTGTAAACGTTTGAGGTATATTTACGGTTTTGTATGTCTACAGACTCGGGTTTTCTAAATACTGAACCGTGTTTAAGGTTTAGATTGAGATAAATGTTTACATTTGTAACTTTGTTTTGGTTACAGAATGGGATATAATGACGAAAATCAATATGGTCCTGACAGTTCCGGTCCGAAATGTACGGAGACAAAGAACCCGGATTGTAGTGTCACCGTGAAGTGTATCGACGAGCCCTCGTTTATCATAGCAGATGAGAAAACGTCATATGACATATCTCCTGTCGGTTGAACTTGGATTTTGTGTCTTAAATGGGAAATTGTTTTTGTTTTACTTTTTCGTTATCTCGAAACTTCTAGTTTAACTTCTGGTTTAAATGACGTCCATGTTTAAATTCATCCGCTTTTTGGTATGATCAAGTGATGTCATCTTTGTGACTTATCACAATGTACAAATGTAGGTATGTATATTATACCACTACCAGTACATCTGTACTTACCATGTCTGTTTGTCTAAATTAAAGGATAATGATGCTCCAGTACTTATCTCCGACCTTATTTGTGTATATTTTATGATAGAAAGTGTTCTGTTATTAACCGACCAAACTTGTTTAATACTACAGTAAGGACCGCTACCGTATTTGTTTTAATTATGATATAAAGAGGGCTTATATATTATATAATAAATAACTAAGAATCTTTGGAAATGTCAAGATTTCGTTCTATTGTCATCTCCGCAGGCAGTGGTGTTGTAGAGGAATAGACACAAACATTCTACGACTATCTTCTCATTTCTGTGCCATATTTGGGTATATGTACGTCACTGGAACTCTACTCTGATAGGGTACATCGCGTCTCCAAAGCAACCAGACATACGTCTATCTTTTTCTGGTTATTAGAGTTTCCTCCCTTGAACTCGATAGGTTCCGTCGTGTAAGGCACGACAACTCTTTGTAGATAACATGAGTAAAACCTATACACATTAATTATTATTAAAACGTGCTTATAGCTGGCCCATCAACACAGGAGAAGAAATTAGGGCTAGGAAATGGTCGATGAAATCGAATCAAAAATGAACATGACGTCTAACAAACGAAATGGTTAACGACAAACGTGAACTTGGAATATTCAAAGTGGCAATGGAGACTGATATCGAACAGACCAACATACAGTTTCCAGGTAGCTTAAAGTTGTGGAGACACTTATTGTTTCGAACAGATTTAAGACATGCAACGTTATTATAGAAATTTCCACTAGTTGGCTGAAAGTCTGCACAATCTAATAAGAGGTGTTTTACTTTTGAGGCTAGTCTTCACGTTTCAATGACCAATTCTGAAACGGGCAAGGGCAACCTCGTCTCGGCGCCTTCCTCTGTAGCCAGGACACCAATCACCGATCACAGATTTTATCGAGTGTAATTTGCTGTAGACGCACTGAGTCCAATTATATTTTGCCATTGTAATCCTGTAATCTAAGTGGTTTAAAGTCAGTAAAATGATGTTTGAAACTAACAGCCGTGGTAGCGAAAGAGCTGCTTTTGCAGAGCAATCTGTACTTTCATTACTTGGTATTCCCACATGTCCGGGAACCCAGCATAATACAAAATGACAGTTTGAGGAACATGTGTCCAATGGTGAGGTAAATATAATGAGCTTCTGCAGAGAATATTAACGCAGCATTTGGTAGCCGACATCTATCGTAGCATATCTTGCTATCGTGGCCACGGCGACCATATGATCCTCCTCCGAACCACCAGTACAAAACCTATACACAAGTAATCATAGTTACCATAAACAAGGACAAAATTATAACAGTATAATATTTTATTGATCTGTGTTTCAGTACATTGTCCACATATGCATTATCAATCTTCAGTAGTTATGTTAATTCTGTCGATTGAAAAAAGTTTGCAGTAGAATTCACATTGCACGTTTTGCCTTTCCTCCTAGAGACTTGATAAAGCCCCAGCAGTGACCACTTACAGTCTTTTACAGTGTCATTGTACAACAGTCGTTCAAAAGGCACGATAAAAACCGTACGACTTAAGGATATATGCAACCTAAGTGTGAAATGCACCTCCCTCTCAAAAGAGTTCCGTACTACACTTGTGCTTTAGAGTAGCCATGACTCACTGATGATATTTATACAGCTACACAGGAATGCATGCATTGGCAATATGAGGTAAACCTGAACTGTTATATTATGGCATAAAACATTTTAAGGGAGATAACTCTCCCGCAACGTCACAAGTAGAATACTACCTTAATGAACTGTCTGTTTTTGCATGAGTACATAAAAGCATTAAACTGATTAGTAGACAATCATATGTTCAGTAGTGTAAATCAACTTGAGGTCCAGGTGTATATTTGCTGAGAGTTTTGGCAGATTCCTACCCACGACTTCTGTTATTATTGCTCTGGTTTCTGGACGCACTTTCGCACATTTGCCACCTTAATATCATCATGTCAATCACATCTGGCTGTTCACCATCATCCAGTAACATTGATTGGTGAGGCTTATATACTGGAACGGAATAACGTTTCCGGACTTACGGACGTATCGAGATAAACAAGCGTCCATGGTATCCTAATCCTGTAAACAGGCTGGCAATGTGACTTAAAACACGACCTATCAAATCACCACTAACTAACGCGGAAGGCTTAATGGCTTCTTTTTGTCCTGGTCGAGAGTATATGTAATAAGGTGTATCTGAGACTACCGGACATTACCACGCTGTGGTGTAGTCAGGATTACATTATATCACACTGCCACAAGTGAAGGACATCCTCCGTTGGGACCCAGGTAGGCAGAGGCCGGTGACACAATACATAACAATAGGTGTCCCTACATGACAATAGGGACACAATGTCGGCTTCAGGATGTTTACAACTTCATTCCCATTATCTGTTTCGTGAAATCCTCAAAAGCCTGGAACAAATAACGACAAACAAATACAAAATTGAACTTTCCCCAATGAATTCTACTGTAAAATTGATGCTCGCGTTTCATCTGTTACATAAACAAGCGCGAAAATATCCACGACAATTGTTTTTTTTAGATTATTAAGATTATATATATTACATATATATGTATATTGTGTATAACATATACATGAAGATTTTAGAACCATTGACAACCCGATAACTTTCAAACCGCAATCAGTTTAAAGACTGAAAACGCTAACATTTCCACTCGCGAAAGTTTTTACTTTTACAGTACATACACATGTAATATCACAACGCTTTACTTATAGGTTAGTCCATACACATGTTATTGTGATACGATGATGATTTGTATCAGACTGACAGAGCATGGTTACATTAGCTGGTTTTAACTGGTAGATAATTTAGTTGGAATATATTCATGAGGGAGATATTTAGTATCAAGATGATTCTCCTTACACTACAACACAGTAAGATAACACATTTGAAGTAAACGCTGTGAAAAAGTCGTGATACCATTAAAATTACACTGACACAATCCTGCGATGACCATTTAGATTTCAACTTACGTCGATTTCCGCCATGATGTTGGGGTCCACCTCCTTCCTTGGCGTGGAAGCCTGTGAATGTGTCGATGAGTTGGATGAGTATGAAGAATTGCTTTTCCTGGATTTGAACTTGGTGCCGCCTGAGTCAGATTTGTTATCGAACACATTATCATCACTAGTAAAAGAGGTGTTTGTTGTGGTCAGGTCGGTGAGACTGTCCGCCTTGTGAGTTTCTGTTCCGTCCTCAGAGTCGTACTCCGTGGAAGGGTCGCCATTCTCCAGGCCGTGCCGATGTCGGTCTATTACCATGGAGTCTGATAGGTACCCGTTCGTTATTGCATCACCGTCATTAGAACGCTTTGATTTTTTTGACTTGACAGATCTAGAAAATGTTTTCTGAGCTAGTTTCTGAACACTGTTTTTTAAAGTGTTTGTTTTATTCATATCACTGTCATCTTTTGTACCATTGCTGCTACCGGGTGGTAATCTGACAGCAAATGAGGCGTCATCACTGACACGTGATTCATGTTCATGAACGCCATTACCGTTGGACTTCCGGTTCTGGTTCATGTCTAATAAGTCCGTCTTGGACGTGGATTTGTTGATGTGTGATGTAAGGTCAAGGTCGATTTGTTGTAGTTTGTTGTTCAGTTCCTGTAGCTGACCTTTCAGGTGGTCTTGGTTGTTGGTCTTTTTCTTGCCTCCGAAACTGAAAGGAAAGCGCTTGCTTGACGTAGTCTGGCTGTGTAGCTGTTTAGTTATCGTCTCCATCTGTTGTGACGAAGCAAACACAATTAATAGGGGACAACAAAATATTACCTGCTCTGTGTATAGCTTCAGTTACAATGTATCAAATGTGGTTTTGCCATCTTGAATTTTAGCTAAAAAACAATTGTATAATTGTAGGGAAAGGACTTCGAATAAGTTGTTCAACTTGTGCCCAATCCCATTTCTAATTACACATATTCTTTTATTAAGCTATCTTTTATTGTTATATTTATCAATAAATTTAAGAAAATTGTTCCGTTACATATACGCCATACAATCCGATGGATAATACCATGACCTAAATCTTGACTGAGCTGTATTTTTGGTAACACTTTTCGTGTACTCAACATAAATCACACTTATTTTTAGCCGGACACAAACGCAGAAGTTTACCTTGATCTGTGTAGACAGACGTCTCTGACGTATGTGTGTTGCGTAGGTGATTTGTTTCTCCACCGAGCTGAGGTCTTTGTTGGGGGACTCCACTCCGTGAGAACGCTATAACGTTAGATGCATAACGTCAGGGGACATAACTCGAACGACATAAAACGTATAGTAAATGTTGCTACACATTGTTTATGCCGTGAAAATTCAAGATTCTTAGAAAATACGCGTCAATTTACACTTTTTGTTATAAATATTCGCGGAATTTATAAAATACGTAACACTGTTTGTTTGCTTTTAAAAACAAACCAAAAGAATGCATGTCCTAAGGTAGAAATCAACCAAATATTGTTTTCATCTTTAATTAAATTTTCAAGAAATATTTTTTTAATTGCTATCCTATGACATTAGAAGACTACCTACCCGCTGTCGAGCTGCCTGTTTCCTCTCTAACTCATGTTTCTGACGTAACATCTCGTTTAAAAGCTTCTGTTTCACCGACACACATTTATCTTCGTATGTAGACCCATCTAGGGGAGATAAAACAGAACAATACTCATTATGTATGAAATGTACTCAACGGAACATCGTGGACTCAAAGGAAGCCTTGCAAACTATTTGAAAATTGAAAAGAAATAAAAAAAATGTGTATTTTTCATTGTATTCATTTAAACGGAGAAGGAGACTAAATAATGGACAGGTTATAATTATACTGACCTGTCACCGAGGTAGGCTCTACAATAACTGTCTCTGACGTCACAGCCTGAGGACTAGGGGAATCCCCAGCCGCCTCCTGTATGGCTGCCTTCCACTCCTCCATATCGTCCCGGTTGTCGATGGACAGATGTACCGACACGTACTCCTAAAAGTAAGCACACGGGATTAACACCAGTTAGTCCTGAACGTTCATGGTTTTTCTGTTATCATTGTACTATTCGATATTTATCTCTTATTAGAAATATTTAGTTTTTCCTGAACTGTAAGATAAAGACAAGCAAAGATACACGTTCCAGTGTCGTATCTGAAAGGAACCATTTGTTTAATGTTTCCTTCTCGTCGGTAACATGAAGATTATCTAAACATAGATACATTTGTCATCTGCCAAAGAAAGTGTTCGCCCACATGACCAAGCTGGACTGTTATTGAACACGTGCACACTTTCTATAATATCATAATTACGCAAAACAATAAAATAAAAACGTCGATTTAAAAATGTTGTGTAGTTAAGTATCCCTATATATGGCTACAGAAACATGACACAGGGACCCGAGAATGTGTTACAGTTAGTATATTTGGACCTTTCCTGATGTATGAAGAGTATTAAATAGACACTTAAAGGGTTTGAATCAAATCTCTGTAAAAATGGCACCCTTCTAACATTACTCTACCCATCAGGATATATTCAAATGTACCCACTGTAACAAAGTGTCGAGTCCCTGAGATATATAACAAACACATACAGCTGCATACATATATATGTGTGCACGCGTCCTGCACATGCGTATACCAACCTCATGCGTGAGGTGAAGGACGAAGCGTTTCCCTCTGAACCTGTCGACAAGACATTCGGCTCCGTACCCCCGGACGTCCAGCAGGTCCACGGTGATAGAATCGTCTGGGGTGAGGTAACAGAAGAGCGAGGACCCCTTCAGGACAAACCAATACCTGTGGAACCAATATCAGCAAAATGGTAATACCGACAGGATATATTCTAACCTTCATCAGTCTATCCAAATCGTACGAAGGTTTCAGTGAGAATTATTTATACGAAACCTTGTTTAAATTAGACTTTGTAGGTTTTAAACCCGTACAGTGTACAACACCAAATCCATTATCGATGATAACACGAGACCGTTTGATGTATTAGGCGATTCCATCCAGATGGACTGGCCGACTTTAAAATCACTATTTTTACTCTTCTGACATTATCAAGCATGTGAGAGCCTGTTTCTCGCATACATGTACTTCTATGTCGTTATAAGAAAACCTTCTATTCTAAAATTAAAAACTTGTGCAGTTAACATAGGTTAGGGAAATAATTCTTACCAGGGCGAGGATTTCTATACTAGTGGTAGAATATCTAAGTTTTAGTAAAGGAGAACAAGACACTGAAATGCAAGGAGAATGAATCAAAAATGGTATACAGGTCATTTATGAGAAAATACGGCACAGATACGAGACAGCCACTCTGTGATACTAACGAGTACCCTAAACAACCAGAAACTCAATGAAAGTCGTCATTTAGACCACTAACTATCTAACTAAGACAAATCAGATGCTGGGTGTGTTCGACAGGATCATGATTACCACCAATCTGTTACTGTTGTCCGGATCTCAACAAATGCCTTTTTGTTTCGTTCCAAACGTTTTATCGCTCTAGTTTTGCAGTCTAATTTTAAAACCGCTATCGCTACAAAGATCCGGCTCACTGCAAACGAGGCTCACACAACATTTGATGATATCTAAATGATATTATCAGAACAAATTTTAAGGATGCTAAAAACAGCCTTGCTTTCTCTTTTTCAAATAATTTGAAAATTTGCTTAAAGTGGTAATGTTATCAGTCACACATAAAAGCCGTTTTAGCTTCCATGAGAGCGTAATTGGGATTTGCCTTTTTCACTTCTTTAGAAGCATTGACGAACCATATTGTGTAATCGCAGAGAGCTTTGTGTTAAATAAATAAGTGAAGAAACTATGTGAAACAGATTAACGTTCGTCACGCTCTCGACATTAACTGTGTTTGCGTACCATTTACTAGGTCGATCTGTGTGATTGGTAAACGATCCGCGTGCTTACCATTGAGGAGTGCGGGTCAGCCCTACTGATAGCCACCAGACGAGGTCTGTATACCCCCACCCACACATCTGGCGCTATCTCGCCCCCACCTATCTCTGTACATATCCCGCTTACGTCCTTATCTGTTGATACATGTGGTTATGTTCCTGAAGTTTCAGTACTTGTTGTTAGTGAAAGTGTAGGTGCCATATTGGTCACAGGCCAAGTTCTAGGTAAAAATATTATGTAGACTTGTACATTTCTGTATGTGTAAAATATGAATTAGTGCTATGCATTAATTACTTTGTTTATTTCAAACAGACCAAACATTCCACAACAATATGAGATACGGCAGAACCACGTACAGGACTGGTATAGAAACATGAGTTTTGTTTGTTTCAGTGCTAATATTACATCGGCCTAATCTCGGTATGTTGACAATGGTAAATCGTTCACTAGTCTATACAATGGAGCAATTGTTACTCCGTCATATTTTAGTGGGGTAACATATAACCTTTTACAGACCTTATCTCACCAGTACACCAAGTTTACCCAATGATCATATAAACGTTTATTTATCATAACTTTTGAGTATTATATGTCAAATACAAAATCTACAGTTGTTAGATGTTCGTGATGTTAACAAATTAGTAAATCTAAACTTTCAATATTTGAAACGAAACACAATGGACATAGTTATGTAAACTGACGTCAATGTACAAGAAGGGTTTGCCGATGATGTTTAAAACAACTTCTAACACATCCATATGGTACCCTATCAGGGGCGGGCAGACACATCGGTATCCCGCCGATTCGAAGCTTGCCAGTAACCTCCCTCTTTCAACGAACCAAACTTTGATATATAGTTCAGCTCTGTTTCCAATCCCTAACTATAGTTTTTTGGAAAATTGACAAAATACGAAATTGTAAACCTGTAAGAAAATATACAGATGTAATGCAAATGGCGGTGCCTTACATATCTTTTCATTTCTTAAGATTTTATTCAGTTGTAGGCTTGGTCAGCTTTTAATGATTATTAAAATATCAACGATTTTAATTTCATTGTACCATTAAGTGAAGCTGCAGTTGATCGTTATTGATTTTTAAACTCATTTAAACATTAAAGATGAATGCGATGTACTTGATATCGTCGTCAAATTTGAATTAATTTAATAACAGACCAGCTCACCGTTCTATCTTTCTATTTGAAACATCCTAAATTTCAATTGAAAGTTTACATATTCCTGTTGAATAGGGAAATACAATATATTTATGGTTGGCAATTTCAGACACCCATACCGATTAGTGTCGTCCCCTATCCCACAGAAAACCCCGCCTCCCCTGACTTGACCGACAATCCCCTCCCCCTGTGGGGCCTGATATCACCGATTCACTAGCTTCATTTATATCTAGCTCACTGGCTTTTCTCTGTATGGTTTTGGTTATACACACATACGTCTGTATATAAAAATGTAAACAGATTTAAGTATGAGTCATGTTTATGATCAATAACTTATCCTATTGCATTTTATATTAGTCGTATATTCGTCACAGTGACTAGATATTGAAGGGACACAGGGTCATACCAAACAGACAATATATTTTTGTCACAGTGACGGGATATTGAAGGGACACAGGGTCAGTGACAGTGACGGGATATTGAAGAAAGAAAAGTTGGTGGACAGAATATTAAGCTTTATGAGTTTAACGTGATAACTTTAAAAAAGTATCTAGAACAATTGTGATGTTGTTCATCACATTGACAGTTTCACCTATGTGAGTATCACATTAGGAAAAATCAGAGTAACCAAATCAGAGTAACCACAAAAGCGTTGTCCTGGGTACTCTGGAAATTGTCATATATTCTGTATTTGGTACAATTCCTATATTTGGTACCACTAACAACGAATCGATGTTTCTGGATCCACTTTCAAATAGCAAACTTCATCTAACAGGGAATGAGTTGAAATTTGAATTTCGGCCCCACATGTGTACACTGTAGTTAGGAAAAACTCGAGTTAGCCCTGTTAAATTGTACGGGTACTGTTGCATGAGGTTATAACCTATAGGAGAAATAGGTTATTGAACTGTTGCTTACCTGAGCCATTGTTCGCTGATATTTCTTCTCTCCATGTACCCGGTGATGACTGGCTCCTCAATTTCTTTTGCAGCTATTTTCTTAACTAACAGAGCTTTGTGCTTCTTCCGCCGTGACGCCGGTGAGGCTTCTGGTGAGTTGTCTACCTTTGTCGCCATGGCAGCAATTTTGTTCTCCTGACCGGAAGCGGAAGAAGATGATGGAGTGACGCTTACAGATTTTGTTCTTCTTAGATTGCGCGACTGAAAAACACAAAAAATCCAAAAACGTTATGATTACGCACACAAAGAACAATCCTGAACTACAGCTATTGAAATGTACGATAATAAATGATATTTACACAATGATCGTCAACAAGTATCTCCCTTTGGTCCAGTGACGTCTATCCAGGTAGTGACGGGAATGCTATGGGAACATAGATATTATATACATTTCCTGTAGTATATACCCGAGAGTGTGTTGTCTGATTGGGCCGGCCTCCACTACAGTTCAAGGAGTCTAGAACACTTCGTGGCTGTGTAAACAAATTGTGCTTGCTATACTGTCGCTTACATGTTTAACACATAAAGTATATATGTAGCTTTGTTGAAGTGGCTACACAATGTCGTTCTCCAGTCCGTGGACAACATCAAACATGCTCCATTAGTCAGTGCTGTCCATATCAAAATTTAATAACTCGGCTATAAACTGACTTTCACTCAATCACAATCTATGGATCAGAGAGCGTGCACACTACCATCTGTACAGGGTATATATAACCAGCTGTGGTCGTATCTGGTGTTACCGTACTGGGCTACAAGTATCAAATGGTTAGTCACAAATATACAAAGATGTAGGTAACCGTAATAAGCTGTTATATTGGAATCGTTCAGGTGCAACGTACCATATTCTTTCTCCATTGAAATTATGTAATAAAAATGTGCAAATTTAACTTCAGATATAAAATATTAAAATACAGAATAACCGACGAAAAACTGAATTAAAACTCCGTCAACCAGTTTGCTTCAAAAACCAAATATGCTTGATAAACCCCTGGCTCCAGCTATTGATGACAAGGTTAAGAATTTCTCCACACATTCATGCAAAGCTAATGAACTTCTACGTGCATAATCACCCAAAGAAATGCTGCACGTGTATGACAATTTCAGGCACTCCTACACGTGACAAGCTAAACGCAAACACGTATATAACTGCTTGATGTTTTCCCATGTTTTTGTTGTCGAGACGGTCACGTGATCCTCGTGTAGCTACCTATGTACTTACTGATATCAACCTCTAATTTGGCTCATTGCTAAATTCCAATCGTTGGTGTTTTTCAGGAAATAGTCTTGCTAATTAAAATAAATTAAATGGTACTATGTAGAAATCTTCTTAAAGCTTGTACAGCAAAACTTACTTAAAGAGTTAAGTCCACTGTTAAAATCTTAATCAAATAAAACCTTTCTCAGCAGTGGAATCCGGGCGGTCCGAAATGTCTGAACATTGATGCACGGACGTGTAAACCACGCGCAGTAACATGGTTCCTGGACGTGAGCACACAGCGTGATATACGGAGGAGTCGGGACGACCCCTAGTTTGCGTGTAACCTCCTCCCTATTCCTCGCGTGCAGCCCCGCCAGTCTCCACAGCTGGGCTGTCTCAGACGTAATCACCAACGCTTCAAACTACTTTACACTGAACGTGCTGACAATGATAGAATTATGTACACACATATTTCTTCTTCAACTGCCTTTTTCAGACACGTTTTTTTCTATCGTATATCGGTAGTCTGTGTAGAGTCTCCTCATTAGTGACACGTGACACATGCACATGTAAAACAGAGGCATAGGTCAATCTCATTAACACAGTTCCAGTATAAAACACACGACACCAAAAATATATTAGGATATAGATGTATATGCGTGTTAATATACCGCGTGACACGTGCCAGTAACAGATGGTGCTCCTGTGTAGTATTTTACCCTAAGTAGAGCAACAATGACAGACATTTAAATATTACAGCCGTAATCTCTTAAACTTACATTTTCCCCATCAGAATTCTAACGAAGGAAAGGAATAGCGCTGAAAACGTCGAGTTGGACTATATTGATATGCAGACGTTCTCCGTTAAATGCTATACACACGCTTAGGCTGAAAACAACTTCGGAAATAATTAGATTTAAAATGAGCCAGCCCCCGAAGTAAAAATAGCCCCCCATTACGGCCTGTACACAATAACTATATGGGGTATAATGAGTACGCCCACCTGGTTACGGACAGCTTAAGACGTCATGTATCTTAACTTGGTCTTAAAGGTTCACAATGATCACGTAATTGAGTGTTGTTTGGCTGTTGTTGAAATTTAACGCAGACAAACACATATTGTGTTATATCATTAACATTTTAAACTTATTTTGAATGAAATCTAGCTGTTTAAGCTAATCGGATCTGCATAACCTCGGCCCTCAATTCCGCCCAGAAAATGTACATGTGTTCTCAGTTTAACTTTCTGTAATTACACATTAGATGTCGACCGTACGAGGACTGAATCATCACATCCAACATACCTATACGATAACGTATAGTACACGTGTAGCTATTTCTGTCAAACAGTTAACATGTCTGTCGGCACACCTGTGACATGTGGATCAATCCAGATACAAACGTAGACAGGACAGACAAAAATACAGGAATAGCTTTAAATCACACTAAATACTTCATTGTGTGATTTAACTGATAAAAAGTGGAATTATTGAAATATTTTTAATTCCTCTACAAGTACTGTCTGCCATCTCACGACTAATACAGTACCAGTGTCCGTACGTCGTCCTCTCATTGATAAAGGGCTGATATACATGTACATCTATCCCGCATCACCCTCGCCCTGATATTCTAGAGAATAAGGGATGGCCACCCTGCTATACTGTATTGAGAACGACGGCCACAAATCGTCCCTATCCCCTGCAGTCCTTTCAGTCGACAAGTGTGCCAATCATCTCTCACCGCACGTCGGGTAATTTAAATTTCATAAAGTTTGGATGGCTTTCGTATAAATTCTCTCTTTACTGTCGTTTTATGACCACAACATGGTTTATTGGTCATAACAAGGGATTCCAAACACCTTACCATTACTGATGGGACTGAAATTCAGGACCTAAGGTTAACATAAACATTTTACGAGCTTTTGTATGACGTCAGATCAAAAGCTGCGGTTATGGTTGATTAGTGTGATAACGAGGCTAAGTTATGACACCAAAGTCTTGTCACTGTCCCAAGTCTGGACGTAACCTCCAAGAATAGCTAAACACAATTCTCAAGTGGTATAAATATCACTGAACGTTTCTCGATATTACTTTCACTAAAATGGTCCTGTTTGTTTTTCAAAAAAATGTTTTTTTTTAATGTGTCAATGTTATCACGTACGTAATTATAGATGAAGTCAGACTGCCGTTGTAAAGTGTCTTTCTATTTCATGACATGAACACTGGACGGAAAGGAGAAATATACATAAATGACGCACCAGTCTTGTACAGTAGTGATGTAAACATTCGAATCGAGTAACTGATATCTCGTCAAGGGCGTGTTACACTTTAACTGAATTTCGTTTCGTTTTTTTCTATCTCGTCCCGATAGGGTTTTATATCTTCTAGGGTTACTTTATCACCAAACAGCGCCATATTGCTTTCGTCCAAAAACAAACGAAACATCTGTGAGAGGGCGATAACACTGCTACAGACACGTCCTGGCAGACGATCTAATCTTCGTTTTGATCTTATTGGGTGTATTTTCAATCATTATTTCTCGAGGTCGGTCGTGTAACTCCTCTCCGATAACACTCGGTCTCGACATGACCCTCTTCAGAGAACCGAGTGTTTATGACCGACAATTTCTGTTCTCACAGGGCTTTTCCAGGTTAAGATCTACATATTTGGGGTACAGTGTGATTGCTAGATACTAGAAGCTTTATTACTCGTGTAAGTAATTATTGCGACAAATTGGAGAAGGAGTATATGTTTAGCAGTGTCGACATGACGTACAGGGTGTTTTAATTTAATCAAGTCACAACATTTCCACATAGCATGAGACCAGAAGTAGAATTCGTTATGGAAATCAACTGTTATACTGTAACCGAATTCGTCTTAGGGAAAACAAAATCGTTAAAAATGAATACATGTATTTAAAACTACTGATTTTCGATTTGCTGCCTTTTATAGTTTTGCTCCAGGCCTTAATAGAAACATGATATTTCAAGTAAGTACATGTCGCTGATTCGTTGTTGCAAACCATTGCAGGGCAAGGTAAATACAAAAAGGTATCACAGATATGCATCAAGAAACGTGTTTGCGACTATCGTAAGATCTCGAACGTAATACAGCAGGCTACCTAGTGTGACACAACGCAAACGGACACCAAAACTGCTTACCTATAGTCGGCGGTAGTAGGGGAGATGACGTATAATAAAATGTTTTAGTCAAAATCAGAAAGTGTTGATAATAGCACATTTTATAACGGGATGTCATTAGAACGGAGAGTAAACACATTCTGAGGCTGAAAAAAATGACGATGAAAATGCGTGTTCGGCCAATCTCCTAATACATGTACATATGTCGACACGTGCTTTGCATGTCGGTGGTCATTCAAAGACAGGTTGTCATGCACAGGTAGAAATCCAGAGGTCATTTTGCGACCTGTATGCATATACATTATAGCCAGACCACAATGACCGGTCGTGTTAGCCTCCGATTATTATATTGCTTACAGGACGGAGAGAACGAATAGATTCAACGTTCAAACAAAGTGATAATTAAAGTTACAAGTTAAATCATGACGTAACGGGGTGTGTTATTGATATACCATAACCATAAACAAGGGAGATTCCTAAAATAAATGGAATCGCCCGATACGAATATCTCACGTATGGTCAATGTGACGTGTCATTTTTGTCCAACTTTATTGAGTGTTCCGTATCAACACAACTCGGTACAGGAAGACCTCACACACCCGCAGCCGATATAATGTCACGGCACTCAATGACCCAGTCCGGTGTCATATTGTCTCGTGAGTGTATTCCACAGACAGTGTCTGCGTCATAAACAACTCCTGAGCATCTCTCTTTGCATATCAAACGGTAAGAGTGGGTTAATTTATACTTCTCGGACGTGACAAAATGTGACCAGTGTGCGAATTCCTGGGTAGAGCAGATATCTGGGATAAGGGCATTGGTCTTTAACATGAGAGTCTCATATTTAGCGCAAAACTGTTC